GAGAACTGATACCAAAATATCTCAATTTTTAAAAGAATAATAAAAAAAAATAACAAAAATTGATTTTATGTTGCTGAAAATTTTGCATAAAAATTTATTTTCAAATTGAAACAATAAAAATTAATATACTTCATATCGAGACTAATAGTTTCCTGTTTTTCTTACCTTTACCGTCGTCCTGCAACTCTACCGGTTTAATAGTAAGGTAGTTTTGTCATCTTTTTTGAATATGTCACAACCACTTAGGTGTAATATTTCACCTAGAAGCGCAATAACTCTAATCCGATTATTTACAACTATATCCTATCTTGTAATTTCTATTTACCATCTCAGCATTATCATCTCAGCAATATGTACCTTATTTTCTTCATTGTCCGATTACTGTAGTTAATATGAATAATATTTAAAGTATATTCAACATAGATACCTGCACGGAAAAAAATATGACTAGAAAATTTTACTACAATGTTGTAGTAGTAGACTTGTAGAAAAATACTTAACAATTTGTAGAAAATTTTACTACAATTTATAGTTAAAAACTATTCATTATTGTAGCAATTGAATTGTCGAATAAAATGCTACAACAATAGGAAAGAATTCCACAATGTTTAGTATATTTTACTATTGTTTGTAGAAGTAGAAATTTATTACAATTATCGTAATTACTACTACTAACTTCTGAAAAAATTTGTACAAATATTAATAATTATCACTACAAAAAATAGTAATTTTTTCTACAAAAAATAGTAATAATTTACATCCCTTCTTATGAAAAATATTCAATTTTGTTCAAAAATATTCTATAATATGGTAGAAATTCTAAGTCATGTGAACAAAACAGAATTCTGCTATTGGCCAACGTTTTCTGACGTCGATCATAAATGGCCAGACAGCAGTAGCCGTTCGCCATGTTCACATAACCAAGCATGGTACATATACGAGTACCTATAACACATTATTATATTATAAGCACCGATGCGTTTGAGAAAATTTTGATAATAAATTCTATTGGTGGTAAGTACATTTATTATTGCTTCTGAATAATTTACCTTTAGATAACTAATTTAAATAACCTTAGTAGATTATTTTAAAAAAAATAGTTATGGCCAACGATCGAATGTTGTGCCCAACGATCGAATTTTGTGTCAAATTCAATGATATTTTTTGTCTTAATTGTGACATACCTACTTTCTCATTTTTGTTAGTTATCTGACTTAGTCATTTAATATCCAAATCAGTGTAAAGGTGATAAATATCCCCGTTTTAAGGGTATGAACAGTTCAATTGTTATTAATTTTTATTTCATATTTTTCAGGTGCAGTAAAGCCAACTGAGACTGAGGGTGCTATTATTACTGTTATTTATTACATAATGTAATTAAGACTTTGTATCTTTTATATTAAAACAATAAATTGAATATTTTATTAAGGAACATTTTTTTCTAGGTTATAATTATAATAATTATGGAATACTACTACAAGTTTTATTAAAAATTACTACAATTTGTATGAATTATTACTATTTATTGTGTAAAATTTTCGTATTTATTTTCATAAAAAGCAATACATTTTTAATATAAATTCATACAATGAATAGCAAAAATTATAACAATTTGTAGAACAATTCTTATGATGCATTTGGATATTTTTACTAAATATTGTAGATAATAACTCTACAATACATTCTCCACAAATATTTGGAAATGTTTACTACAAATTGTCCCTGTCCCTATTTGTACTATTTATTGTAGAGAAAAAATCTATAATTGTAGAAATTTGTTCTACAATTTTTTTTCCGTGTGCAATAATAGGAATTTATATCTACTCATTATACCGCTGACAAAATTTTTCCTAGTTTTAAGACATTTTATGGCAACGCAGCATTAATTTATAAAATTGAAATGTTAAGTAGCACATCTCCTATAACTATTATAAATATAGTGACACTTTCACGACCAAGCCCGAGTTTAAAAAAAGTATATACAGCATATACCTAATAATTTTGGTTTATCTGAAGGGAACGTATCTACTCTCCAAAACCTCGAAAAACAAGTCCATTCTTTTCCTTTACTACCGGAACTTCCCTTTGATTATTACCAAAATTACATTTTAAGTACTCTCATTTTCAGATCCTTTGTCTTCAATGTCTTTCTCCAATGATCTAACCTACTATTAAGTCCATAAAAAATATGTAAATTAGTAATTATTTTTCTAATTTGATTTTTGGATTATAAAAACGCCACAGCATTTTGATAAATAAGAACTAAATAAAATTATACAAAACAAAGTAATTGGAATAGTTTTTTTTTGTAGACCCTTTTCTTCTATTTTTAGCGTAATTTTCACGATAAAAGACCACACAATTTTCTCAGAATAATACTTTTAGAGCTCGATTTCGTGACAATAGCTCTTCCACAAGCGACTGCATATCTTGAATATACAATAGGAATTTTTCCGCTCTATTGAATGAAGTGAAAAAAAAAAACGGACAGTTCCAGGGACAACGATTTCAGGTATTCAAATAAGATTATCGTTTTAGAAACAAAATTTATTTTTGTAATCCAAATTACAAAATATCGAATATGCTAGGAAAAGAAATTTATACAAATAAAGAATTCAATCAAATATACAATGAAACGGTCGGTTCATAATACCGAGCCCCACCACATAATTGATTTTTAATAGGACATTGGAATAATACGAGTATACGATGGTTACTAAGAACAGCGAGGAAGCATACCAATATAGTATATTGTATCACAAGGGCAGAAAATGAGTTTTAGCAGCCTACGGCTATTACCTGCATGAGCGAGCGAAGCAAAGCGAGGGCAGCTGATAAAATTTATGTAAAACGTCAAAGTACGCAAGTGACAGTTAACAATTTTGAAGTTGGCTGTTCAACACTTGAGTTTCTACGGATAAATAACAGACAGTTGCTTACATACTGTCAATTGAAGCTTTCGATTACTGTACATTTTAAGAGTGTTAAGAAAAATTATACTTTCTGTGACAATGGTTTACACGTTTGCAGAAATGGCAGATATGCATTTAATTCTGTGTAAGTTTGGTCAGGATAAAACAAGGTTTCAGATAATTATCTGTAATTCTGGTAATCACAGGTGAATTCAAAGGGAATAGTACAGCAGCTGCAAGGCATTATGTAGAAAAATATCCCAATCGGAATACACCAGATAAACGATTATTTCTTTCTATTGATTGTCTTTTACGGGAGACGGGTACTTTACGACCGCAACTTGCTGGTAATAGTGGTCGTCCAAAAATGGATACAAACGATGAGGAGATTTTAGAATTAGTCAAAGAAAACCCTGGAAGCAGTACAAGGGTAATAGCTGCTCAATTAGATGTTGGTCACATGATAGTTTGGAGAAGATTGAAGGAACAGCAGCTTCATCCCTATCACTTAACAACCGTTTAAGAATTACTAGATGAAGATTAATTATCCTAAAAGAATTGGATTTTGCGACTGGTTCTTAATGGAAAACAATCGAAATATCAATTTCATTAATCATATTTTGTTTACCGATGAAGCTACCTTCAATAGAAATGGCATTACAAATTACCATAACGAAGAAAATCCTCACGCAAAAAAAAAGTGACTCGTCACCAAAGGACTTTTAAAGTTAATGTTTGGGCAGGCATTGTGAATAATAATTTAATAGGACAAGTAAATTTTTATGGAATGTATAGATTTCGTGTATTATATGAAAAAGATGCTCTTACGGTAATAAAGTCAGGTATCCATTTGCAAAGGCTTTTTTTCGCAATTGATGACAATGAATTTTTATGTTGCGTTAAGTAGGGTAAGGTGGGGCAGGTTCGGACGTGGGGCAGGTTCGGACATGGGGCACCTCCGGACAAGGCAAATTTGCCGCCTTATAGTGCTATGACCATTACCAAAGGCAGCCCCCATAAAAACAAATGGAAAGTCTCGACTAGGTAGATCCAGAATTTATACAAGCACACTGGAGAAGAAATGAATTCAAGAATTGGAAACAACGAGAAAATAAAAGTTGGAGAAAAAAAACACGAAAAAAAAGTATTACAAAGCGAATGTGAAATGAAGAAAAAAAAACAAAAGTTGAAGATAAATGCAAAGGCACCAAAGAAAAAGTTGAAAAAAAATAGAAAGTGACTCCTCAGGATGTGGATTTACCACAGAATGTTGTTCATGAGACAAATTTTTTTGACGACCTGTCCGATTCTCTGGACGAGTTTCAAGACAATGATGTGCTCATGCTATTGGATGATGACGTAATCCATCGTATTGATTATTTGCTTGTCAAATATCCGACCAACAAAAGGACACTTCATTACATCGGCAGAATGGAATTTTGTAATTATGATAAATCTTTTGTCCTAAATTTCTTGAGAAAGTATAAAAGCGGTTTCCGCTTTCCGGATTTAGATGGATTGAAATATTTTATTTTTACTGTGTTTGGGTAATTTTTTATCAGCCGATTTGGGATTATACAGTAAAGTAATTTAATTTAGTTTGGAGAATTTGTATTTGGGCTATTAGCTGCGTATTTTTGGTAAATTTCTCCAAATTTGAACCTAAAAAGAGAATTATTATCACTCCACACCTTCGTATTTGTTTCAGGAAAGGAATTTGTTTATTGTTATAGAGGTCTAGAAACATATTATTTTATTCATTCATTCATCGATAATCAACTTTACTTTAAATTTGACAGGTTACACTACAGCTCCCACCACCGGAACATAGTACGCCCCTCTTCTGTACCGAAATACAAATAGCAAGCAAGAACACAACATGTCACTTTTTGAAGTGAGATGAAGGACTATAGATGTAATCACGGGACGAACGATTATTTTAAAATATGAACACTGAGCCCCTGTTCTGTCGTTGCTTCATTATAGTATGAGACTTTAGTACATATATGTTGGTGACTAGTCACACAGATGTATCGTGATCACCTAAGAAGTAGTAAATATTTATAAACATAAAAAAATCCTGCTTACCTGTGTAGCCGGGAGCGCATGTGCACTGATAAGACTGCAAGGACCTCAGCGAGCACGTACCCCCGTTCAGACACGGTTTCTGATCGCAAGAATTGGCAATTCTGATTTCGCACAACGACGCACTAAAACCGAGCGGACACAAACATGTGAACGATGGCGCTTCACCGGGCGAAACGCGCACCTGACACGACCCGCCATTTACGCAGCGCGGGCCTCGTGACGCATGACACGGGTTCGGATATTGACAGTATTCTCCTACGTATTTCGATGTACAACTGAAACAAAAAGAAAAACGTGTTAGATAATGGTTACAACTACATAATAATAATTCTTAATTTGTTATAAAGGTAACATAAACTAGCGAGATATAGGTATCCGTATTTAGATACCTTAGGCATTTTAACTTGTTTTCGGCTGTTTACAAACAAACACCCAATTTCATAGTTCTTCTGCTTCTTTTTCTCTTTCTTCTGTTTCGTCTTCTTCTGCTCCTTCTTTAATTAAAATTTTTTAAACATTTTTGTAAATTTGAAAATGAACACCCCAATTCCCCCTACTAAATCCATCCTCACATCCACAAGGTGAAAACAAACCAAAAAATTGAAAAAGCAAGACTGAAAACATGTGCCCCAGCCAGGGATTCAACCTGGATCCTCAAGCTTACTCCGTACAATGACCAAATTGTCAATTTGAAGATATCAGATTCGAATCTGATATATTCAATTTGACAATATGGTGATTGTAGCTGTGGCCTAATTAGTAAGACAGCGAGGAGTAAACTTGAGGAAGCAGGTTCAGTCCTGCTTTTTCATTTCCTTCTTCATTTGTTTTCACCTTGTAATTGTTAAACCTTCGTTTTCGAATCGTAAGCTATTTTCTCTCTCTTCTTCCTTTCTTCTTTATTTATTTGGCTTTCTGTCGTCAGATTTACAGCCAGAACCACTTCTTAAAAATATATTTTCACAATAAAGGCCTGTTTGAATTTTTAAGCCCATATTAGAACCTTCTGTGGTGAACCCAGAGAGCATTTACCAGAGGATAAGAAAAATGGTTTTGCAATAATTAGTTTCTTAATGTAACGGTTTCGTCACATACCTACGTTGTTAGTATACCAATAGAAAAATTTGTTATTATTGTTATAGTAAAAAAATTATTCTCGATAAAAAATCCTTTATCAATTATACATTATTAATTCAGATTCAAATTTGTAAAATATTTAGTTTACTGGGCTCATTTGAATTAAGCAGGGACCATTTGTCGAAAAAGTATAGTATCGAACTCCCAGTAAATGTGCCATTAATTCGAAATGAAACAGTGCTAGAAATAGTAAATTAGAAAATATTAATAAACATAACGTAAAAAATAAACTCGAGGTAAAAATTAATATTATTTAACCTAATATTTTAAATATATGAATTAATTGAATAAACTATCTATCAGTACGTACATTTATCATCTTTTTATGACAATTTTACAATTTCAATGAAAATAAAAATAACAAAAAACCCTCCGAATAATAAAGACGTTAAACAAGTTTATATGTAGATAAACAATCACACCCTTTTTATTGTTTGTTTGCAACTTAATTCATGTATGATTATTTCTGTTTACCCTAAAATTTGAACACCACTTCTTTATTAACTTACTTTTTATATTTATATTTTAATATTTACAAACCCTAAAACGTGGTATGCCTTACGCCCGATCTCTTAGCAACCATCCGAAAACCGTATTTTGTTTGTTCAAACATTAAGGGTGTCTCAACTAAAAACCAAACACCGAATTTTTTTGGTAGATGATTTCTTTTAGGTGAACTATAAAATTATTGTGACAAGTCAGATGATGCAAAATAAAATACGTTGATTCGTTTTTCTATGGACCACCCTGTTCACCTATCTACATCTATTTGTTGAAAAGGTCTCTATACATTATTTGCTAAGTGGGTAGGGTAACTTGCTGATGGCTTAAAAGGGCTTTTTCTAATGTACAGATGTGGCTCAGATTAAGAAACAGGTAGAAATGTTTTTAAATCAAATGAATTTTAAAGACGTATATGAAGGTTGAGCCTGGATGGGCCATTTTGATGCAATGAATGATGAATATAAAATTATTATAAGCATTCGTTTGTGAAAACTTAGTTTTTTGTAGAATGCCGTAACAGTTACTAAAGAATTTCACTAAGTTCACAACCACAAGGTGTATAAATATTATTTTCTTAAATAGAACGCGCCATGTAAACTTTCGCGTTAGTATCACGTCTTGACACCCCTGCGGGTACATTAAGTGTCCCTCATGTAAAATAAAAGTAGAGGGAGTAAGTTGATATCCCGAATGCGCTTCCCACCAAGATTGGATATCACAGAAACCCCTTTCATACAAACCATTTGCTCTTTGTTTTGAGTCTTCCCTCGGTACAAATGCGCGCTCTACAAGTGTTGTTCACTTTCGGTTTTTAAAGGAGGCAATTATTGTCCTGTTTAGAAGCTAATCGTTTAAATAGACGGTGATTTTTTACAATGAAACTTTATGAATTGGTATTTGATTTATTTAGACAGTTGTAGTAAAATGGGTTTTATTTTCTTTTGTGGAGAAATTAATTAGAAGGTGTGTAAAGAAATTTTGTTGTACAGTACAAATTGGAATAATATAAATTGTCAATGTCTTGTCTTGATAGTACTAATCATTGATCTGTAAAAAACTCCTACACACAAAAAGAAAATAATCTGAATCATTTTTTATCTATCAAGGGCGGGTAAGTGAAATTTACAGGAAATTACAGTTACAAGCAACATTACAACTTTTAGAGAAATTTATTTAACATTGAAAATGTATATTTTATGATCTGGTTAACGAACATTTTCTAGTTGCTGGGATGCTGTAAATAATTTTGATGTATTTGTATTAAGTAGGTATATTATAGGGTATGCCTTTCAAAAGTAGCCTCCTCGTAGACTAGGAAACGAGCCGCCTCTGTTTCATATATCCAAGGTTAGGAAAAACAATAGCTATTTCCAATAACTCTAAAGGTCGTCAATAGTTCCAATATAAAAACAAAAAAAAATTAAATCGGTTCACAAAAAGAAGAGAAAATGGTACTGAACTATTTTGTCTTTTCCTATTTATATAAGATTAGACTAATGCGGGTGTATGATTTTTATAAATTTTGATGTGTTATTTGATTTAATACTGAATATAACTTATTATTTTTAACTAATCATTTGTTTACCGTAGGCCAGAAAATTATATCTTACAATGTTATTACCAATTTTACAATCAATTCTAAATAATTACATTATCAATTATCAGTTTGGTGGAAAAATATGTAGTTAACTGATATAATATCAAATTATTTGAACAACAACCATAATATGCCAATTTTAGCAATTATACTAGTATATCAAAGCACATAAGCTACAAAAAAATTTATTCAAATTAATACAAGTAGGTACTTGTAAATTTGAATTATTTTTAGCCACTTATATACAGATATACTGATTTTTCGGATTTCGATTTGCGATTTCTCCATAGTATCTAAATTTGATTCGATTATGGCTATTTAAAATTACTCAATTCGAGCAAATTATTGAAGAAGTTTCTTTCGTTTTCTACAGTATGTTGTTATATAATTCGATGTAAATAAGCATAAAAAACTAATAACAATTAAAAAATGCCCCCGAGTAAAATATTTTAAAATTCATGAGTGTGCTACTTAATACTTAAATTAATGATAAAAAGATCATTTAATATTACAACGAACTTCCATCTGCATCCTGTTTTCTTATGTTCCAACCAGTTTTTCAGTTGCTGCGCGTTCGTTCGTACGTTTCTGATTCTTCATGTCATATCGACAAAAACTTTATTTAATACATTTTCCCACGTATATAAAATAAATATCTATATAATATTTGCATTAAGCATCTGTATTACCAGCCGACGAAATCTTTTTTATTTTATTTAGAAAATAAAACGGTTTATTGGTAACAGAAGTATTTTAAAATGTTCCGTGTAATTATAAGGATATGTTTTGGTAAAAATAAAACAAACCTCGTTTTGTTTTTAAACACTCGTTAATTAATTGTCGTACATTTCTAGTTTGTTGATCCCGTCCATAAACGTCCATTCAACTTGATTGAATAATTGCAAATGGCATAAAATAGACCTGAATATTTTCTGTAAATCTGAAAAAATTTGCAGGTGCTTAAAACATTAGTCTTTTATGTTAAATTCAATTTAATATAAGATTTATTAATGTACAACGTACATGGATAAATAAATAAATGAATAAAAACCTTGTATAATAGTGGTTTTTGTTTCTTGCAATTCAATTGTTCATGTCTGCAAACAAATAAATATTGCTGAATACAATGCAAATACAATTGCTAAATGTTTTGTTTTCCTTCATTGTATCATTTGAGGGTAAATACACACAATACTTTCGACTTATAGTTGTGTGACTTATAGTACTTGCGCAATAATGTTCATGTACTGCAGTTGTTTTAAAATTAGTGTTCAGAATGAGTAATACCTACATGGTTTACTCTGTATAAAAATGGAGGAATTCTCAAATGACTTTATTTAAAAAATTATTCTAACAAACTCAAAAAATATATTGTCAATTCTCTATCGTGGATGGGAAAAGGAGTACAAGTCAAAAATTTAGAAGCTAAGTAAATAAATCTATGTTATATGTCTTATAAGTAGACTTATACAGATTTTTCCACCAAAAAAAAAGGTATTTTTGTAATTTATATTATGAAGTCCAAGTTCAATAGCGACCCTAATAGAATGTATTGACAACCTACGTTTTACACTAAGAATAAATGACTGAAACTAATTTACCCAAAATTTTGACTCCTTTGCCCACACACAATAGAGTTAATTTTAGGGATATTCAAATTTAACAAAATCTAAATTAAAACGATGACATTCTCAGTACATTGAATTGTATATTATCAAGGATAATACTACAAGAGGTTGTTTCCTGGAAAATTTGCATAATTTGTAAGGAAACAATAAAATTATATCAAAAACAATTTTCAACTCGCGTGATATTTGGAAAGATTATTTGACAATAAAAACAGAACTTTTAAGTACAATTTAACGATAATTTTATTTGTTTACAAACTAATATTAATATTTGAACAACGATTTTTGTTCATTTTTCGTCACCTTCTTTGACCAATTTTACATTGACGTTTCGCGGGATTCAGTGAAAAAAGAGGATTGTCATTGGTTGATGTATTATAGTGTTAAATTAGTGGACCCGATAGGCATA